TAGAAACTGAATTAAGAACAGGTCATATACTGTATAACGTGTTTGCTAATGTAAGAACGATGATAATGGGTGATTAATAACCCCTCTTTACAACAATTTCTTCCATCTTCCATATGTTTACACAAGCTCTGAAGGTAGTGTAGGAAAAATCAGGGAGAGGAATGAGTGACTCAGGCACCCACTAGTTTATAATAAAGTGAGAAAGTTAAACAATTTAATCCTGTCTAGTTTTCTGTACCTTTGAGTGAATGTGCATAAAATATAAAGAAAGAGATTACTTTAGCCATTCTGTCCTCAAGTTAGGCATTATGATGATAAACTTATATTTTTATGGGTAGGAGCAGAGATAAATGGGAAGAGAAATAAATGGGAAATAGAAATGACAATGAAACTAAAGTGGAATTCTTTATGTAGGCTAAAAATGAAGTCTAGCAAGACAGAAATTAAATATTTTATAGCACATTATATAATCAAAGACATTCACTTTTCACACAAATTAAATCAAGAATAATTCAGTTATAAGAGTACAAATAATTCAAAGGAAGATATGTAATAGATACTACCACCATAACAAATCCATATCAATTTGTTATCTACTCATAATTGGAAAATTATCTAACTAAAAGCTTCTGTTTTGTGATTTTCTTTTAAAAGAGTAACATGATCCTTTAAATCATGTGTATAACATTTGCAACAAACTGAGATAATGATTTTTAGATTTCAAATACAAGTACTTTAGGTTAATAGCCAGATAAACTTTAAATTTCCACCTCATATAAAAAATCATATATAACCCTTTAAATTTCTACAGCATCCAGTACATATTTATTTTCATAGCTAGTTCTATCAGATGGTGAGATAATCAATTCCAAAGCGTTGGGGGTTGGAAAAACATTAATTAACCATGTAATAGTCCAGAGAATCTAATCTATTATCAAAGTTTTATAGCAAATTTTATATTATAAGGGGTATAGCTTTATTTGAAATTTTGTATTCCTAGTCAAACTCATATTTGCATTATTTCTTTCTTTTATAGATTTGGTTTCCCAATTTAGACCTGGCGAAGCAAGGTCTAAATTAGACAATACAAATATTTGGTTGACTTGTGAAATGGGACATCAGTATCGCTGAAATCCTATTTGTATATTTTGTTAACCTAATCTGGATAAAAAATATCTTCCTGTACTGTATTTTATTCATACTGATATATACTAGAATTGGTGTTCATACTTCCACGTGAATAATTAAGCATACAAAACACTTCATTTATTTAGAGACAGGGTCTCTCTCTGCTGCCTAGGCTGGAGTGCAGTGGTATAATCACAGCTCACTACAGCCTCAACCTCCCAGGCTCAAGCAATCCTCCCATCTCAGCCACCCAAGTAGCTGGGACCATAGGCATGTGCCACTACCCCCAGCTAATTTTTGTATTTTTAAGAGATAAATACTTAATTGTAACCCAGAGTGCTTGAGGGAGGGCCGTGATGTAGAAGAAAGAGATGTCAAAGGCCCTCAATTTATGACTAGAGAAGCTGGGTATTTGGTGGCATCACTTATTTAAAAAGAAAGTATGGAATGTTCTTCCATTTGTGTCCTCTTTTACTTTATTGAGCAATGGGGTTTGTAGTTCTCCTTGAAGAGGTCCTTCGCATCCCTTGTAAGTTGGATTCCTAGGTATTTTATTCTCTTTGAAGCAATTGTGAATGGGAGTTCACTCATGATTTGGATCTCTGTTTCTCTATTATTGGTGTATAAGAATGCTTGTGATTCTTGCACATTGATTTTATATCCTGATACTTTGCTAAAGTTGCTTATCAGCTTAAGGAGATTTGGGCTGAAACAATGGGGTTTTCTAAATATACAATCATGTCATCTGCAAACAGGGACAATTTGACTTCTTCTTTTCTTAATTGAATACCCTTTATTTCTTTCTCGTGCCTGATTGCCCTGGCCAGAACTTCCAACGCTATGTTGAATAGGAGTGGTGAGAGAGGGCATCCTTCTCTTGTGCCAGTTTTTAAAGGGAATGCTTGCAGTTTTTGCCCATTCAGTATGATATTGGCTGTGGGTTTGTCATAAATAGCTCTTATTATTTTGAGATACATTCCAACAATACTGAATTTATTGAGAG